AAGTCATTGGACTATTTTTTTGCAAAAATGAAACCTGAAGGGTTGAAGGGAAGAATCAGCAAAACAACATGGTTTGCTTGTAGGTTTAAATAAAAAGCCTTAGCCACCCAAGACTCATCTCGTTGTTCTACCTCCAGCCTCTTTCAAATAGAAAAATCACAAAATTTCCTTGGCTTATTCATAAATTTACTCAAGTTTTGAAGACATTTTTAGAGATTGAAAGTTATCAACAAGAGGCACAAAAGAAGAGTTCGAAATTGATTCAAAGTGGGGAGTTCGAAGCTCAAAAGGTATGAATCTAGACTTGAAAAGGGCTAGATGTGGGGAAAACTAAGAAACCCGATTCCAAATAGGATTGGGTTTTTCCCTTTGTCTATAAAAATGGGGCCTTTGGCTTTAGAGGGGGCATTCGAAAATTGGAGAGATCGAGTGGGGGAAAGAGAGCAGAGAAAAAAGGGAAAATTTAGAAGCTTGTATCCAGAACTTCAAGAAAATAAAGTCTGATTTTTCGTATTTTCTCAGGTGTGCATTCTTCATGATTTTTTTTGTTTTTTTGGGTGTTTTTCTGTCATATTCTTTCCTTCTTTTTCCTTCTTTGTTATTGCTAATTGCTTGGTTTCCCTTTTGAATAGTTTCTTTCATGGTTTGTCTACAATTGATCTTGAGAAAGGAAAGATTTATTGATTGTGTCTTTGTTGCAAACATGATTTCACTTGTTTTTCCTTTATTAGTTTGTTTCCTGTAATGCAAAGTAATCACTTGTAGATTTTTCTTAGTTTTAGGAAAAGTTAGTTTAGTGTTCATGAATTTTTAGGATCTATTATGTATCAAAAAGAACAAAAATTGGAAAAGGAAACTTTCTTAGGAAATATGAAGTAGGTTTAGGCATTAGAAAAAACAAAACAGAAACGAAAACAGAGCGGAGGAAAGAAAAGAGTGCAAAAAAAAAAAGAAGAAGAAGAAACAGAAGTGAAAAAAATTGAAATGGAAAGAAGGAAAGCCAATGGAGGATTGTACTTATTTATTTATTTATTTATTATTATTCTTTTTTTTGAAGTTTTTTTGGGTAATTGTTGTTGATGAAAATTTTTAAAAAATAGAAACAAAAAATAAATAAATAAAAACGAAGAAACAAAAGGTAAATGACAGATTTTTTATTTAAGTGATTTTTTTTTGTTTATTTTGGAAATTATTATTTTGATATAAAATTGAAAAGTCCCCAAAATTAAAGTATGTGATAACTATATTATATGGCAGTTGTGGGGTGCCTAATACCTTCCCCACACTTAATCGACCTTTCGAGCCTAGTCAATTTTTATGTAAACCTTGGTGATCTATTTTACCTCATTTGGATAGATGGTCACTCCATCCATTTTGGCACATCAACAACTGGGTTTAAAGAATTTGAAACAAGACAAACTATTGATGAGATTGATAATGATGATTGTGTACTCATAAAAAGGGTGGCAGAGTTTGAGGATGTGATATTTTGTAATGAAGATGTAGCCTAAGTAGACATTGATGTAAGTCATGCTAATGAAGGGAGACATCATATCGGGATGGAATTTTTGATAGATGATAGTGGTTTTGGTTTTTACAATGAATATGCTAGGAGGATAGGCTTTAGCATTTGGAAGGAATTAGCGAGGAGATCGAAGCTAGATAAATTATTTAATCGAAGATATTTTGTTTGCTACAAGATAGCTTACAAGAGAAAGCCCAAGAGTGACGCCGTCAAGAATCATGCTCGTTGAAATCAAGAAGGTTTTCAAGCTCGGATGGCTATTCATCTAAAGAATGGAGGATGGATCATCAAGCAATTCTTTGATGAACATAACCATGAGATGTTTTCCTTTCCAAAAAAATCAAGAAAATTGTTGTCCCATAATAAGCAGCATCTCCAACCATGTGTGAGAGCATTAATGGATGAATATAATAAGGCAAGATGTTGTCTAGTAAAAATTGCACAGCTTTTGAATGCCGCAAGGTTTGGCAACTCATATATTACACCTAACCAATGCCAACAACACTTGAGAAAGAAAAGAGAAAGCAATATTGGTCGTGAATGTATGGCTATTGTGCAACAATTTCTAAACATGATTGCTTTGAATAATAAATCCTATTACTTCATTGGGTTAGATGAAGATGGTGTTTGTAGGAGTATTTTTGGGTAGATGAGAGAGCAAGGGCAATGTACAAACACTTTGAAGATGTTGTGGTTTTTTATGTCACCTACAAGACTAATCAGTTCCTTCTCCCTTTTGCACCATTTACTGGTGTGAATCATTATGGACAATCTACACTTTTTGGATGTGCTCTCCTAGCTAATGAACAAGAAGAATAATTTGTTTGGCTGTTTAAGCGGTGGCAAAATAGCATGGGAGGAAAGGCACCTAAAGCAATCATCACCGACCAAGACCCAACAATTATTAATTCAATTAAAAGAGTGTGTCCAAACACAAGACATAGGTTTTGCATATGGCATATATCTCTTCATGCAGACGAACATCTCTGTTCTTTGTGATTTACCTATAATTCGGATTTTGATCAACATTACTTTAAGTGGGTGAAGAGCAAAACCATTGAAGAAGCTGATAATGCATGGGTAACACTAAAATAGGATTATAAGCATGAATATGAAGGGTCATTAACTAAGAAGCAACATAATGAGAAGAAATCATAAAGGTGGTTGGAAAATATGTATGAAAAAAGGTATAATTGGATTGATGCCTAACTAAAAGACACTTTTTTTGTTGGAATGAGATGAAGCCAACGGAGTGAGAGTATTAATGCTTTTTTGATGGCTATGTGAATTCTATGACTCCATTGCATGAGTTTGTTAGCCAATATTCAAAGACTTTACAATGTCGTCATGAGGAAGAAGAGAATGAGGACCTTCTTACAATAAGAATGAAGCCTAATTTCCAAGGCATGCATCCCTTAGAAGTTCATGCCGAAAAAGTGTACACAAGAAAGATTGTTACAAAGTTTCAACTTGAGTTTAAATAAGCCTTCCTTGATTGTTGGCATGATGGTGGAGTGAACAATAATGATGGAGTTATAACATATGTTGTTCAGTATGAGGTGGATGGTAAATTTGACACATATGTTGTGCATTGTGGCCCATTAAAAGGGTAATTTAATTATTGTTGTGGGATGTTTGAAACTGTAGGCATGCTATGCGAACATATTTTATATGTAATGAAACAATGTTGTCGTTAGAGTTGATTCCTGAATAGTATATCTTATCTAGATGGACTCTTGCTCACAGGTATAAGAGTAAGAATGGTGGACCTTGATTGATTAGCACATCAAAAGAAACTAAAGTTACACCTCTTGAAGCTTGGGATCTTCGAAAGGCTTTGGATGAAATGTATCAGAAAGCAATCGAGCAACGAGATCTTTATAACGCTACTACTACAGTACTGGATGATTTAACGAAGGAATATGGTAGTATATGGATGGAATATGAAAAGCCTTCTATTAACCAAAGTGAGCAAGTTATCTCGCAAGTTGCACTTTCAACAAATATACCAATTTGAGATCCAACAAAGGCTAAAACTAAGGTAGACCAAAAGCGGCTATAAGGATTCCTTTGGGAAAACAAGTTTCTCAAGCTGAAGCTCAAAAAAGATCACGAACTTGTGGTGTCTGCCATGACAAAGGTCATGACATTAGGACTTATCCAATGGTAAAGGAAAGAGCCAAAGAACAGGTCTAATATATGGATCCCCATTTACTTTTATTTCTTATCCTTAATTTCTTTTTGCATTTCAATTTTGATTAACCACATTGGTAATGCTGTGATTTTCATTTTTTAGGAAGCACCGATAACTGAAGCTACATGTTCACAATTGGAAGAAACATCTCATGACTGTATGCCACAAAATTGAATTTTGACAAAGGGGCACTAATGATGCATTTTCTCCAAGGGATTACTTCTAATGTGGTTTATTTTGCTATGGTTATAGTGAATTCTATAATTGCAAAGCAAATTGAATTTTATTTATGCAAACTGCTATATTGGATGTGGTTTAGGCAAATAGTTAGCATTTTGTAAAGGCAACATGTAGCATTTTGTGGAAGCAAATATGTAGCATATGTATAAGAAAACAGGTAGCATTTTGGCAAAATTTTGTGTAGGCAAACATGCAATATATGTATAAGAAAACATGCAAAATATGTATAACAAATCATGTAGTATTTTGGCAACTTAATCTCTGCTTTTATCATTTCAATACCATATGCCAATTTGTCTTTCTAATAGCAAGTGCAGAATATGGACATTTTGGTAACATTCTAGCAGTATTTTGTGTAGGCAAACATGTAGTATATGTATAAGAAAGCATGCAGAATATGTATAAGAAATTAGGCAGTATTTTGACAGCATAATCTTTGCTTTTATCATTTTAATACCATAGGCCAATTTGTCATTCTAATAGGAAGCGTAGAATATGGACAATTTGGCAACATTTTGCCAGTATTTTGTTTAAGCAAACATGCAATGTGTGTATAAGAAAACATGCAAAATATGTATAAGAAATTAAGCAGCATTTTGGCAATACATGATGCATAATCCCTACTTTTGTCATTTCAATACCATATGCCAATTTGTCTTTCTAATAGCAAGTGCAAAATATGAACAATTTGCATTACATACTGAATCAAATTTCTATTTCAAAATAATTATATTACATAAGTCATTTTAAGGAACAAATAGAATCCAAAAGTGAAGACAAAGAAATTATGTCTACA